ATGAATAGTAGTAAGAGCTAATACCATATTATTGTCTTGCCAGGCTAGACAGAGGACCTTATTCACTTCCATAGCATGTAGAGTATTCCATAGAATACTCTTTTGAATGCTCTCAAAGCTCTGCTAGAATAGGGAGAACCTGATTAGAGCAGGTAGTCCCACAAGCTCCATAGCCATGCTCTCAAAGTAGGTGGAATAATTGAACAGAGGTAAAGTAGTTGTCTAGGTAAATTGAGTATGGAGTGACTTGTTGATTAGCTGACTCTTCAGCAGAAGGCCTAGTAGGAGCTTCACTAGTAGAGAGAGCTTTGATGATAGAAGCTTCAATGATAGGAGTCTCAGTAGGAGGTCTAGTATTTGATTCCTCAGTAGGAGGTCTAGTATTTGATTCCTCAGTAGGGGGTCTAGTATTCGATTCCTCAGTAGGGGATCTAGTATCTGATTCCTCAGTAGGTCTAATAATAGGAATCTTAGGAAGCCGCTGAATCATATTCATGACCATGGATCCAGTTCTGGTAATTTCTGGAAATTGAAACATAGGCATTATGCTCTGCCGGCGGCTAGACCAGGAAAATGTCCAAAGATATCCATGTTCTGCTAGTCCAAAGATCTTATATCCCTGAGGAATTGGCTTAGCAGGCATCTTATATGTGTGCTGACTTTGATCAAAGCATCTAATCATGATTTCATCAATGGAAATCTCTGAGTCAGGGGTGTAATATTTCTGGCAGGCATTATGGAAGTTAGAAGTCAAAGACTCTATCTTATACCATCAATATTTATTCTTAGAATCTGGCTGGCGAGCTTCTCAAGTGTTGGATATATGAAAATAGCACTTGATTTGCTCAAAATGTTTCAAGGTCATATAGGATTGAACTGAATGAATAGGACCTTCTCTCAGATTATTCCTCCAATAATGATCAGTCTGGCTGGATTTATGAATCCCCATATAGATAAGAGCTCCTAAAAAGACCTTTATTTCCTCTGAAGTGGTCTTTTTCCATGGACATTGCTGAATAGAGGTCTTCAATTCCTTAGATGTTTCCATAAATATAGAGGGTTCTGCAGAAGCTTCCATAGGGATTTCCTCTTTCTTATCCTTCTTCTTATCCTTCTCAAAGCTCTCTGGAGCTTCATTATCAGTATCTCCATCATCTCCCTTCAATTTTGCATAGAGATTGGTTGAATTGACAATATTATGAATGGAATCTTCAGAGAAGAATAAGGTAAATAAGGCATAGAGGCTTTGAACACCAACATCTGGTGGAATATGAAGATTTGGCAGCTGTGAACTAGGTTCTAGAGGAAGAAATTTGACTGATTCTAGAGGTGATATCTCTGCAATGACTTCCTCAATTACTCATTTTCACTTTGTAGAGGTTCTACCTGGCTTTTTCATAGATTCTAGAGAATATATTAGTTATTTGATGCATAGATTAAGATCAGGATTCTAGAAAATCACCTGAATTCCCTGTAGGTTCCATATTTGCAGGTGGATAGGGCTCCATGGTAGGCATGTAGGTAGGTCTGAATTCTCAACACACTTTCTGCTTACATGAAAATCGCGAAAGTGTGAATCTGTAGTGACCAATAGCAGCCCATACAAAATAGTATGTGAACCTATTGGTTGAGACATGCTGACAAATGCCTTTATTTTACACCTATTGATACCACACTAATTGTGCAACAAAAGACGGACAAGGGGATAATAGTAAAAAAACTTAAAAAAATTTTAAAATTTAAAGAATAGTAAAAAAAAATTAAATTAAAAAAATAAATATAAACATTACTTATATAAATATAATAAAAAATAAAATAATTAAAAATAAAAATAAATATTAATATTAAATTTAAAAAATAGTTAAAATATTATCTTTAATTTTTATATTAAAAAAATTAAAAAATTATATATTAATAAATTAACTTTAAAAAATATATTTAATATATAATAAACTTAAATAAATAGTATTGAAAATTTTTTATTTTTAAAGAAATTTAAAATATAAATTATATTTTTTTAAGTATTTATTTTTAATATAAATTTTTATTAGTATTAATATATATAATTAATAATAGTAATTTTAAAAAATTAATATAATAATATATTATAATATTAATTAAATAAATTAAATTAATATATTTTTAATAAATTTTTTTTAAAAAATTTTCTATTATAAATAAATATAAATATAATTAATATTATATTATTTTTAAAATTTTTTATAATTATATATATTAAAATATATTAATTAATTAAATTTATAAAATAATCTAATATTAATTATAATTAAATAGATATTATAATTTTTAATTATATATATCTAAAATAAATAATAATAATATATTAAATATAAATATAATTTTTTATATCTTATTAAAAAAATTAAAATAAAGTTAAATTTAATATATTTATAGTTAATTAAATAAAATAAATTTTTATATTAAATTAAAGTATTAAATTGAATAGATAAAAATTATTAAAAATATTATTATTAAAATTTATAAATTAGAATTTAAATAATATTATTATAATTAAAATACTGATGCGTGCGAGCAATCAAATAGATAGAATAAATCATGTCTGATTCTCTTTTAATAAGATGGGCAGATGCCCTGCTATATATACACGCTATGATCACTCTATATGGTAGGAGCGATCGCATAGAATAGGAAATATAGGAAAGATTGAGGCCTCTGAGTGGATTAGAAAGAGGCAGAAGAATAGAGGCGGAACGCCACAAATACTATATAAAAATTAAAATTTTAAACTATTAAATAAAAGTATAAATTATTAGAAATTTATTATTTATACTATATATTATATTAATTTTTATTAATTTAATAATAATTTTATTTATTTTATTTTTTATAATAATTATATTTTACTTAATAAATAAAGTTTTTATATTAATATTAACAATTTAAAATTTTTTAATATTTTAAAATAAATATAATTAACTAAATTATTTAAAATATTATTATTTAATATAATTATATTTAAATATATTATAGTTTAATATATTAAAGTACTAATTGTTAGGGAGTGAATGTGAGCTGTATAAGAAGAAAAACTCTCTGCGTTACTAACTGCTATATAACGAAATACTAAGCTTGATGGGATGAAAGGTGGGGCCTGCCTGGATTATAACTACCTGCATGGTCGCGTGGTCACGTGATGTGGATTAGGCCTAATCGGGCGCCGAGCTTAATCCGACGTCGAGTCTAACCGGGCACCGGCCTTCGGTCGGGCTCGGTCGGATGCTGAGCCTAACACTAATATTTAATTAATATTGATAATTTTATATAAATACTACTTTAAAAATTTTATTTGATTAAAATATTATAAATAAAAATTAAAAAAGTAAATAATTTATTTAAAATTTAAATTAAAAATATTAATAAATATTATTTTTATATTTATTATTATCAATAATTTAATATATTTATATATATATTATAATAATAGATTTTAAATCTTCTCTATTATTTTATAAAATAACTTTTTGATAGAATATAATAAGCTTAATTAATTATAGAGTTTATATACTAACTATGAGAATAACTCTCTGTAATAAAAATAAATTATATAACAAAAATATATAATAGTTTTAATTAGTAAAATATATAAATTTTAATAACTTTTTTTATAAATTATAAAACTTTTAAAAAATTTATTAATTATTTTTAAAAAATAAATCTTACTTTATAATAAAGTTAAATATTAATATAAGAAAATATAATACATATAACTATATATAAAGTTTTATAAATATAATATTTTTATAAATACTTAAAATTACTAACTTATTATTTTTTAAAAAATTTATTATTGAGAATAATATTAGTAAAATTATAAAGTTTATATAAATTATTATAAACTTTTAATCTTTTTTAACTTATAAAAAGTATATTAAAAATAATATTTTTACTACTAATATAATTAATATTTAGAGAGATTTTTAAAAGTTTAAATTTTAAAATATAAAGAAGTTATTAAAAATTTTTTACTTAATATTAAAATTTATATAAATTAGTAATTTTTTTATATAATTATTATAAATTTAATTAATTTTTTTTTAATATTTACTTTTTTTATTAAATAAATAGAATTAAAAAAATTTATAAAATTTAATAAATTGATTTTTTTTTATAATATTAGTAGAAAATATTATAAGCAAGTTTAAAAAAAATTCCAAATAAGTTAAAACTTTCATAACAAGTGTGACTTAACAAGACTATAAACAATTAAGTAAATGTACAAAAGTTCAATCACATTATAAAAATAGGGGTTATTAATTAAATTTACTCAAAAGTAGGATATAAAAGGGAAAAGAAATTAAAGTAAATATCCACTGATACAATGCTATTATTCATTTATTAGCAATCGGACAGCGGCGAATGCGCGGCCGCATCCGGATCCCTGACCCTCGTGCCGCTTTCCCGAACGGGCCTGGCCTGCCGCCGCCTGCTCGGGGTTTAGCGCCTTGGGTTTGACTTACATCATCGATCTATCTCGGGAATCGATATAAGAAGAAGATCCCCGCTCCTTTTCCCTCCTCGACCACCTTCACATCGATCTCCCCAATTTTTACCCTCCTCGCCTCACTCCTCTCACTCCTCCCCTTTCCTCTTCCGCACTCTCTCAGCCTGCTGCCTTCGCTACAAATTCTGCCGATCTTCCTTGCCGAACCGTTTCGCCATCGCGTTTCCCCGCCGCCGCTCCCGCCCCTTCCCCTATTTGCTGTCGTCTTGGAGGGACCATGTCACTCTAGGAATTTTAAGATTTACGTTTACACACCACCTCTCCTGGGGACAACGGGCTTTACTCTCTGAATATTTCCCTCACCCACTTTTGTGTCTCTCGTGTCCCTCGACGTCTTCCCATTTGGCCCTTGCAAGGAAGGGACTTTCTCTGAGTCTCGTGCGAATTCATTCCCATTTGCTCAACACTTCTCCTTCTAGTTCTCTTTCCATTTGAACTCCAGTTCGGCGCATGCGCGCTATGCTGTTGACCAATGGCAGAAATCCCTCACGTCGGCGAAAACCGAGATCGTTTGGATCCAACACCCCGACTGCGGCGTAGCGAGATTACGAGGAACGCGACAGGATGCTACGAGGTGACGTGGAAGGAGTGTACGCGCAAAATGCCGTCTTCGCTGAGCCTCCAGCTCGTTTAAATGATTGCATTGGCTGTTCTGAGGTGTCGACTGTGGATACTTGTATCCAAGCATGGTATTCCGTCTTCGCATTGTGTGCCAACGCCTAGGCCTGCGATTTTGTTCATTGGCGAGGGATGTCGGCAAACCCGGTGCTGAGTTGTTTCCAGCTGAGGGAGCCAGGGAGCCAGGGGTGCAGTGATCGTGTGACGGTGAGACAGAGCCTCTTGCATAATCCAAGGGCGTCGGCTCCACCGCATGTGCCTGTTATTCCGTACTTCATTCGTCATCGATTCTACATCCTTACGACCAGTTTGTGTTCATCTTCATGGATACACAGGCTTGTCTGGCTCGTTTCCGGGTGTGTGGTCGATGGTGAACTTTCGATGATCCATAGCTCAGGCCCGATCAACGGTGTGGCTCGGAGGAACCCTAGCTCGACGTTGCATTCCGTGCGTTGCATGGCGATCGATCCCCGTTTTGCGGGTGTTGGAATGAAGGGGCGAGGCGCTTCTCAATGATGCCGGGGTCTATCCATAAGACACTGGGGAAGGTCTCTTGCAAACTTTGGTTACTCTGCTGATGGAGGAGCTTTTCCCGTTGTCGCTCTATAAAAGAGCCGGCTTTTCCCCTACCAAAAGCACCGATTGCAGAACGAGAATCAAGGCTTCCCCGAAACCCAAAATCAGAGAGCAAAGCCATGGCTGCAGTCACCGTGGACAAGATCCGATTCTATCAACCTTCAGATCACCTCGAGTGCAACCAAGCTACAAAGCCCGAAACTCCCCGCAATCTCCACACACCCCAAACCCGCAGCACCCGCTTGCGTTTTCACTTCCCTATCCTGTCCCTCACAGCAGCTCAGACACCTTTGGCCCCCCGCCTCTTATCCTCTGTTATGTCTCCCATCTCTTCTCACCCTGCAAGCCAACAGTCCCAGCCACCTGAAACTCCAGAAAATGACTTTGACAGGATTTTGGAGAAGATGTCGTTGGACGACGGGAGCCAACCACTCGGCGGGAACCGAAGAAATACCGACGAGGACACCACCATCCCCTCTGGATTGAATCAGAGTGGTTTTTCCAGCGACCGCCTTGGCATGCCTGTCGAGGCGGACACAGCTGCGGAAAGTGCCACTGAAGCCGGCCTTCACACATGCCGGTCAGGTGGAAGTAGAGATCTGTCTCTAGACTTGCTCACGATACGCGTTTTCGATCCGCTAACTTCGGCCCTATTTCAGATGGCCACAAGTGAGTCGGCAGGTGGACAGACTTCTTCGCCACCGCTGCCTGCCCGCGAGGCGCCCACCGATCAAGGTGACAAGCTAGACCGGATAGCGGACGATGATGGAGCTTTATTGACTTCCTAAAAAGCTTCAGGTCAGCTTCCCAGCTTCAATGACCGTCCCGCGTTCTCTCGCTGATCCTCTACAGGCAGAAACCCCTTCCCTTACCGTGGAAAGTCATATATGTCAGTGAACATTTGACATCTAAGAAGTTTTTTATGAATCATCAATAAAAGTTAATAAATTTTAAAAGCTTTGAATATTTTTAAAAGAGCTTGAAGTCTAAGGATTACAAACATTTTCTTGAGATTCATATATATCTTCATCAGCTTCAATAATAAAGTTAAAATGATTGTGAATTTTACATCAAAGTTATATTTATCTATATCAGTCTAGCTTAGCTTTTTGAAGTCATAGAAGTTTTTAATGAACAAGTTTTTAATGTTCAATTTAATATTCATCAGTGAAGATTAAAATATTATTCATGTATATTAAATGAATTTTATTGAGATAGTCTTGTAAAGTTTAATTAATATATTTCTAAAATATTTTTAAAATATTTATAAGATTAAAAGAGTTATAATTTATTCAAAATAATAATAATAATAGTAATAATAATAAAGTTAATATATTTAAAGATTTTAAGTGATTAATCAGTTATAAATAGAGATAAAATACTTAATAAATTTTTTTTATTTTTTATATTTTTCTAGTTGATTTTTATTTATAATTCTTTTTTGAAAGAGATTTTTATTTTCCATTTTAAATAAAAACTTAAAAAAATTTAAATAATATAATAATAACTACAAAAAGAGTTTTTAATAAAAAATATTTATAATAAAAATTATCTTTTTATTTATTATCATTGAAAAAAAATTATTTTAAAATTATTTATTAATTTAAAAATAAAATTTAAAGCTTTAAAATATAATTATTACTTCTTTATTTAAAAGTTTTAAAATAAGATAATATTTTTTAATTAATTTAATTTTTTTATTTCAGTATTTTTTTTACTTTTAAAAGTTTTTTCTTCAGAAGATATAGTTTTACATAATATTATTTTATATAAAAATAAGTTTTATAAATTTTATAGCTAAATTTTTAATATTTTAAATTATTTTTTGAGTATAAAATTTATAGCTAAATTAATTAAAAAAGAAAATTAAAATAAAATATATCTAATAAAAATAATTATATTTACTTTAAGTTTAATAATTTTATGAATTTATTTTAAAAGAAAAATTAAAAAATTAATAATTTTTTAAATTTTTCTCTTTATCTATTTTTTTAAGAATAAATATTAATTTAATTAATTATAAACTTTAGATAATTAATTATTTAACTTTATTTATTAATTTATCTTTTTATTTTTTTATCTCTTATTTAAAAAGTTTTTGATAAATATCTTTTTTTATTTTAAAGATAATAAAAGTTTTATTTATATTTTAAGTTTTTTAAAAAATTTTATATAGAATTATTCTGATTTTTTTACTAGTTCAATAACTAATATTATAGCTCAGTTTAGAGTTAAGATGATAATAAAATAAAAACTTCATTTTATCTAACTTACTAGATAATTATAATAATATATTTTTTTTACAACTCAGTAAATTTTTGAAATTTTGATTTAAGAATATTCTCATTTAAAAGCTCTTACTAAAATTGTTCAATCTTTCAATTTTTATAATATTCAGACAAAATTTGAGAAAATGATAGTTAGAAATATACTTTTCTTCAAAAGTGAAAATTCATTAACAATTTTCATTATCAATCCACAACACTTGTTCTAAAGAGTGTGAAAATTAAATGAGTAAGAGATTGATTAATTCAAAACAATTCAGACAATTTTCAAAAGTTTTTATAATGTTATTATTAAGAAAAGATGCATTTGATCTCTTTGAAATCTTTGTCAATTTTGATTTTCTTTCAATTATACTAAGTATCTTCTTATATCATTCTTATCAAAGTTTGTCT